ATTTTGAGCAATATATCGGAAACCATTCCGAGTTAGTGTGAAAAATATAAGTCAAGTTTTAAATCTATTAGTTATATTTAAAAGAATTCATTCCATTTCTTCATCTTGTATAATTTGTTCTTAATTGTTGAAGTGTTCTGATGTCTGTATTAAGTGGTATATGAATAGTTGGTTGCACTGCATTATTATTTAAAAGACGTCTCAAGAAGCGTAAGACGGATCGTGGCCACAATTCTGGTAAACCAATCAACGATACAAATGGACAGAGTAAATGAACCATATAAACGCCATATTGAAGGACATTATAAGTAAGATCTACCAATATTGGCTGATAAGTAGTGGAAAATAATTGAATTAACATGAAAATAACCATGAGAGCTAACACTATATTATGTAGCAAAGTAATCGATAATACTTGAATAAGAAGTCGTCGATTTTTCTTCCATTTATTTTGTTGTTTCATATGATGTTTTCTATGTAATACTCGACTTACCAATACAATATTACCTAAAAGAGCTATGGTTTCAAATACAGTAATATTAAAAAGTAAATCAAAAGTGCTTGGTATAATATCGAATACATAACATGGTCCTCCACAGAGATTGACAGTATAATCAAAATAATTGATACAAGGATAGATATAAATAATTCCAATATAGAAAACAAATGGATACAAAATGCAGATGATTATTGGTAAATAATGAAGAATAATGAAATGACGAAGAATGAATGGACGATGAAAAATCAATAAATAACGTTCACTGGAACTATACGTCATGAGCATGAGAATAATACCACCTAGGATAAAATCTTGTGTAGACCAAAACTTACAGAAATCATCTGACGTAACTAGAGAAATGCCATTATGCAAATATGACAACGTCAGAGGTTGCTCACTAATTACCTATAGTTTTAACAGAGAATGAAAATGAAATGCAAAACTATTAATTTCTATATATATACTTGCAAAAAACTAAAGATTAATATTAATAACACCGAATGATTGTGAACATTTCGACGTAGTTGACGTTTATGAACAAAGTTTATAAATAAATATAAATAGCATAAAGTTGATGGAATAAAAAAGGTACACAACAAAATAAATATAAAGGAACGACGAAAATCTGAAGTTGAATTAAGATTGGTTGTATCGGAATCAGTACTGTTGTTCATTGTGAAATATTTTTGTGATGTAAATCTAAATATGTCTAATCAAATAATTATGAAGTCTGAGTTTTTATTTGAGGACTACGTCGTAATATTTATATTTCTATATGGAAAGAAAAGTTTAACGTTTTTATGACAGCAATCTTAGAAACGTAAGAGACTATTATGCTATTAGTAAATTGAAAATTTATTTTTCTAGGAATATGTTGGCTCTATAAAAGTGTATGCTTTCTTTTGTTTTTGATACATATAAACATATAATCATGATATCATATACATATTTAGAAGCTAGTTATCACCAATAAAATTAATTAATTCTATCGAGAATTTATGGCCAATCGAAAAATGCAAATTTGTAAAAATAAAACCGAAAAATGTTGATGTTAATTTTGTAATGTCGATGAAAAAACGATGATTGTCTCTTATAAAATTGAAAGACGAACGAATAAAATATTGAAGTACAGTGTTTACTAGTACTCGCCATAAACTATCAGCTAGTATTGAAAACTACTTGAGAGTGACAGATATAATTATATAATCAGACGTACAAGTTTTTTCGAATAGAGCTGTACTTCTCTCTTTTTCCAATATTAGTTATTACGTCGATGTTGTATTATTAACTGTAAATTGATATTTAAATCCGATTTTTATCTTATTTATCATCGTGTGTGGGTGTGAGTGAATGAGACATGATTCTAGTTATCAGTCACACCCAAATCTAAGCATACTTTTTTTCTAACATGTTTTGTAAGATCGATATAATCCTTAAAAGATGGGCTATGCAAAACAATTTAGAACATGTTTATAGCTACTTTATTTAGGGCTATACTTCCAACCTAATACATAGGCAACTATACTGACATATAGAATGAGGTGAAATGGCAAAATGAAAACGAACATGATGATAGAATTACAAAAAAATAACAAGTGGTGAAACAACATTTAACAAATTGAAAAAAATAGTGCTTTGCCAGAATGAAAACCCAACAGTCTTGAACTAATTATATATCACCATCGCTCTTCATAATATCATATAATTGGTCACGTATCATCTCTTTCTCCTTAAACAACTTGAAATACTTTTCTTGTTCATCTGGTGCCAATTTCGTTATGGTGGTACCGCGAACTAACTCTTCCATCTGGAACATTTTCGTGACCATCTGAACTGCTAAATCTTTCTTCTAAAAAAATATACGATTAGTATAAGACATATATAGAAAAACAATACGAATGAGTGTGAGTTACATACATCACTAAATGTAATTGCCATATTCTTATATGAACTTGGTCGACGAGAATAGCAATACGTAGAAAAATGAGGAAGAGTTTTTTTTTTATATATATATTTGATTTGTTCTATGTCAAGTTTAAAGGTCATGTTTTATTCGAATAAACAATAGATAATATAATACGTCAATAGAAACAAAAGAGAAAAATGATGAAGATGACTGTTGACGAGATATTATTTCTATCTGACGGATAATGACAAATGAATTACCGTAAAAGGTGAATACAAAAAAAATATTTTAACAGTATCTTGCTGCAGAAACTGAAAGCACTTACGTATGCAATTTTTGCCTGTATATGCAGTAGTCGATAATCATTGAAAGGAATTAGTTCGATATTAGCCATGGTAGAAAATTTGTTCGGAATCAAAGATGAAAACGAAAACACGACGTTGAATAAGGTCTTTGAATTAATTCATACTACGTTTATAGTATTTTGTTGTGTCTAATTTAATAGTCGAATATATTATTGTCCAGATCGAACAATCCGACTCGAAACGGTTGGTTCCAGATAATTCTGGAGATTTCATGCAAGCAGTATTCCGGTAAACGTATCCGGTCAGCAGATTCCTGCGGGTTTTAGTCGACAATCCATGGAATACTGCTTCAGAAATCATCGCCGTGGGAATACATTTTATTCTGAATATAATCAGCCATCAAAGATGGATTATTTTTTACTATATTTGGAATAAGTTTATCATAATGTATATGTGTAAGTTTTTCTATCGATTTATATTTTGGTAGATTAGGCATTTCATCGTTAGTTGCATCGATTCAATGATAAATAATGCTAAGCATTTGCCTGCCGAAGGATTGCATATATTTTTGTTTAAAATTTGCAAGAATGGGACGAATGCTTAAGAGCAATTGATAATATGGTCTTATATAAGCATTCAATTTTGACGATATATAGTTGTGATGTAAAGTAAAAGACAGTTTACTATCAAGCATAATTCCTAAATATTTCATTTGATTACAATGGGATATCAAGTGTCCACTGCAAGTAATATCTTCAAGAATGAGTGGATTAACTTGTGTATGAAACACTATTTAATACGTTTCTGGAAGTTGATGGGTTGTTTCCAAATAGTGGCATAAGAGAATAGTTGATAAATTACTATTCTTATTTGTTCGATCAGATGAATTATAAGTTTCTCACAAGTTCAAATTGCCGCATACGATACAGGGATTGTCAAATCATCAGCGAAAAGCTGTTTCAAGTGCAGTATTGAAATATTATTCAGAATATCGTAATGGTACACTATGAAGATAAAAATTCCAACACAGGATCCTTGTGGTACTCCTTTGTAACATACAAAAGTGCCAGATGTTGAATCATTGATGGAAATGAACGCTGATCCTTCAAATAGATAGTTTTGAGTCCATGCTATTAGATACAAAGGACATTCTAGCCGAAAGAGTTTCAAAATAAGGCCATTAAACTAGAGCTGATTGAATGCAGCTTTGTCCAATCTGATTAATATTCTTTGGATTAATGCATTCTTTGCTTTCAATATTTTGTTATGTTTAAGTTAGTAGTATAGGATATATTATTCAATCCACTATTTAAGAATAGTTTTCTCTTCTTCATCATTTCAACGCCTGGACTATATATGATTGAGGGTGTGGATGTAGCAAAGCAAAGTTAGACATCCACATCGATCCCTCAAGATGGTTAATACATATAATCTTTATTTAATTGAACAAAAATATTCATATGATGTATCTCATTGTCCAAAAATTCTTTCATCGAATAATCAATTTATTTGTTGTAATTTTAATCAAGAATTAAAATCTTGAGAGTGTTCGTGCGAGTGTTAAGAAGAACTTTAACAGTCACCCCCACAGTCTGTTTAGTTAAAATTTGGCGAAAATACTATTAGAGTTCTTTCTTTCGTAAACTGACTTTTAAGCCAATCTGTGCATATTCGAGGGGGTCGGAGGTATTGTTGAGTAATAGATTACAGGACCACGATTAGCATGAAAGTTTTTCTGTTTCTCGTAGTTTTTTCGTACAATACAGCTTGATAAGAACAAAATAAATACCAGAAAGGTACCGATAATAAATCCATATGAAGCCCAACCATTGAACGATTGTATTTTGCAAAATATCATCCAAATGCTAAATACTAACACAACTAAACTCGAGCCAAGGAAAGTTGTGAAGAAAAGAAATGAACAGGTGTGTGGACAGCATACGGTAGAAGTTGAGAAACTATAAATAAAAATAAAGATAGTCTGTTCATTTTTTACAGAGAACTTTAAAGCTCACATAAAACCTATAACCAGAAGTGATAAACCAAAACCAAGCAAAATAATATGTTTTTCTTCAGGCACTTTGAAGAGTGGTGCTAATGGTTGTATTTCACTATTTTCAATGCAAAACTGATCTTTAACACACGAATAAATGATGCCAACATTAATAGAAAAAGCCGAAAACATTCCATGTGCTTTATTAAAAATACCCTGTATCATTGGAAACGCTTTGCCAATGATACCCAAATCGATTTTATCGATCAGTTGAATCGTTTTCCAGCTGTGGTTTAAAACAGTTTATTTCAAATAATTTAAGAAAAATATTAACATACTAAGGCGATACAGCACAAGTACACAACCAGACAAGGGTGACAAATGTCATAAAACAAAGGAAAGAACGTTCAGTTGATGATGTTGCCATTGCTAATAACGGTAAAAATGAAATATACCGGTTGATTAAAGTAAAAATCTATAATGTACAAAACGAAAGAAAAAAATGAAGGTATGGGTGAGGTTACAAATGGGAATAAGCGGACGATAATCGTTAAGACTCACGCTGATATCTGCACACTAACTGATTCCGATTCTAAGCGATTCTGATCCTCATCATCATATCCATCGGCAGTGGCTAGATTCCAGACACGTCATACTTTCACATTTCTCTTGTGAAATTGACTTTCAATTGTCCACTAAGGTTATTGATTTTAGCATGTGTTAATCGAAAAGACATCAGTTATGCGTGAAAAATCGTTAGGGGGCTATGCTCGATTCTGATCGATGTTTTTTTGATGACGCGATAAATCAGCCATTATTCATTCTTTCGTTGAAAAATAGAAAGAAAAAGTCAACAACTAATATGGTTAATGCTTGATATTGTTTGATTCCGTGATAAAACGATTTGATAACACATCTGTTTTCAGAGAACGCTGTTCCCAGTAGGGCAACTACCGATAACATGAAATCTATGATTCAGATTTTGTGTCACAAAATATAAAAAATATATTATTTTCTAACATTTTGATTACTTTCGACAAATAAACGATTCTATTCGATACTATGCTTTTGACTCAAGTTGAACTGTATAGTGTCTTCAGCGTATGAGTGATGTCATAATCTCATCACACTCAATATTCTTCTACAAATACATTACTTACGACGTTACTTCACTAGAGCGACCACTTTCTCCTTATCATTGTTGCCTCTGGAGTAGGCAACTGAATACCCAATATTATATCTACCGCACAATCAGATGATGTGGGTGTATGTGTGAAGGTGAGAGTATTGGTATGAGTGTCATAATCGTTTCTCCAATTATATCATCGTCAACACCCACACCCCTCCCACTTAACCGAAAGCTTTACTCCTAAAATAGTATAAAATAAACTGCTTTGGAGAAGTTAAATATATCTGACATGTTTCATGTAGAGAATTCTAGAAGTGTCTGTAATCACAAGATGAATATCATGTTTATCATTTATTGTTAAATAAATCTATATGAACTGTCTCTAATTGATATAATTAGTTATCATAATTCTAGTAATTGTTCTAGAGCAGCTATCTGAAGCTGATTTCGCTCGAGCTGCAATTGTTCATAGAGTGCAGCTAAAGTGAAATCACCATTGTCTCTACTTCGAAGAGCACGTTCTTCATAATAGTTTAAGCTACGATCCAATGATTCTGAAATGATCAATATGATTACTGTTAGCCTATTATCAGAGGTCGAATGCCAAACTGCTAGTTCTTGATGAAGATCTCGCATAATTGTGGCATATATTAGATGCGTTTTATATAGTAGATAAATATAATCGACATTTGCATCTGGTTCAACAATGATTGGATTGAAGTTAGGAAGTGGATCTAAAACTTGATCTGGTAGTAGGGCAAAGACCGTAAATAACCGATCAGGTATAACGAGTCGATTACGGAGATCATCTTCACTATCGAAAACAGTTGCTATGCTTTTATAAAAGCGTAAATGTCGATGAAGATCAAAAGATGCGTTCAAGTGCAAGAATAATATGCGAGGTTCTTCAATAACTGCTTGAGCAGGTACAGCCCCGCCGAATTGGAGATCTGCCTAAACCAAAGAAAGCTTTTTGTTTGCAATAAAGTTTGGATGATATGGAGCAGATATAATACTTAATTGTCTTTAACTTTATTTCTTTTTGTAAATAAGAAAAGGCGCACCTTTGTACTATCACAAAGTGTGAAGATCGTTTACAACAACATTTATACTTCGCGTTTTTATGTTATTTTCATTAGAATTTGACTTCTAAGTCTTTTTACGATTTCAGTTGAGTATTTTGGTTTCTGTCTGCAATGCAATAGTATCGCATTATTTCAAATTCGATTAGATTTGAAGAGAGATAATATTGAATCTTTTGTTGATTACAGGTGAAGAAAAAATATTTTCTTTTGTGTATTCTTCGAATAATACAACTATAATAAGATATTATACGAAACTTACCATATCTTCTAGATTCATAGTCGAGTCGTTCGTCGAAATTGAATAATATTTGAAGTGTGTTTTTATCTGAAATATATATTACAAGTGCTTATAAAATATATAAAATGGAATGACAAGGTTGTTCAGGAGAAATTGAGAGTGAAATCTTCTTTTACACTTAGTTTATGTTATTTATCTTCTACTGAACTTTCATAAATAGAACTCTTTTTGAAGTTAACTAAAGTTACGATCACATCATAATTTCTAAATGGTAGAAAAGAAGAAACTTTGAATATACTGATTTAATTAGAGATTAAAATACTATACAAGTCATCAGAACTGTTGTAGATAACATATCGAGAGATACTCATTCATTATTCAAGTATTTTGAAAAAAGAATTTGGGGAACAAAGAGTATTTTGTATGTTTGTTTCCTATTAAAGCGAAAAATATTCATGATAATTTTATCTTCCTTTTTCTCTCATATTAATATCGTTTTGTAAGAATTGAATAAAAGTTGAAGTAATATTTAGTCAAAATTAAAGATCGCAAACATCGAGTTTATTAGAGTATTGTTGATAATAATAATAGATATTAAATGGATGTGATAGAATTGTGTTTGTAAAGGTAGTGGAATTATTTATAAAATATAAAAACTACCTGTGATCATATATTATGTCTTTGCTAAATTTTTGTAGTGTTTCAATGTTTTCTCAATATAATCTCCTAATATTTCAAAACATTTTTTCGATTTTATCAGGAGCTGTTTAGCCTCATCTCGATTTTGATGATCAAAGAGGGCTTTTTTGGCTTCATCTCGATAATATTGTCCCAAATCTTTATAAAGTTTGCTAGCGAAGTGATCAATCGAATCGATGCTGGCGACGCGTTTATCAACGTTTAAATCTTTTTGAACTCGTTCATTAGGGGAAGTCTGAAGATGATAGTAACGCAGAAGTTGTGCATGTGACATGATTTCGTCAGATGGTGGGATAGAAGCAAGTATGTAAAAAGGAATGGCCGAATTCAATTCACGTATAACATCGGCAAGTTGACTATTAATGTTAGATTTCTCCAATCGTGCGATGGCCAAATCCAAATCAATGGATGGCAGTTCAAGATCGACTATATAAACTATCGGTTGATTATTATACTGACGTTTATATGTTGATGATTTCTCGGCTAAAGCAAAATAAACAAAGAAAATGAATTAGTTCATATGCTGAATTAACATCAAATCTTACTGCCAGATCATTTATCCTACGAGAGAAAAAGATGTCAAAAGAGCTCAGTGAGATTTTGTAAAACTCTAATATGTCGTCATAAGGTCGTATAAATGTGTAAAATCTCAACAAAACTTTGTGATATCATAAGTTTAGTATAAAAAGCTTTTCAAGTTTCGCAACAAAAAAGAACTTTCGACTAAATCTCTAAAAGATACCGTAGTCGAAAAAATTTCGTACTAAGCTATTTTCTTTTCGACACTCGTTGATAGTAAAGACAGCTAATCACCAATTAGAAACTTATTCGACCTGAATCATTGCTACCTTTATCTATCTATGATTCGCTTTGCAGTCAGCCTTGCATATTTCATTACTATAGTTGTGTTTCAACTTCACGCTTTTCCATAAGCTATCATTTCTCGAAGCAACAGAGAACACATCCATTGTACAGCCTGCAAAATTTGATGCTAAATCTTTGAAATCTTAATATTTGCTCAAAGAAACATAACAACTACCCACTCAACAGGTTTATCTGTTTGTCTTACATGAATTACTGTAGTTGCGAACTTTCTATATTTAGTATGGAAAAATAGCTGTTCAGCAAACAATTTCGCTCTAGATCTATTTCATTTCGTGTCATCTGAATGGTGTGGGTGTGAATGCGGGTAGGAGTGGGGGTGGGAATGGATATCATTGTGGATATTATATTTGTCTCTCATATCCACACCCACACCCCTTCTATCATCTAAAATAACTGAATGATTAATAGAACACAATTTTTTTAATATAGGATGAGTCGGGTCTTTCTAACGAGTTTCGCCCCTCTGAATTTCTAAAGATTTGTTTGTCCCTAAAATATTCATTTTTATATAGATCACTCGCTTAAAAATCACAGATTATCTTTCAATGAACTTACCAGTCGAATTGTTTGCTTCATCAATCTTGGAATCGGTAGTTAGCTGATTTTGCTCTTGGGATAAGGATGATTTTTGATGGTATCGTGTGCTCATATCATAATCACTCATTTGTATTGTGAGTTTACCAAGATCTTCATTTAAATTGAATTTTAAATCAATATTAAACTTTTGCATTCGATGATTACCTCCATCAACAACATAGAGACTACCTTGAACATCGAATGATAAACTTCTAGGATAATTCAGCTGATTTGATTGTTTTCCTTTTCTATTCCCGCCAACAACAATACTACCTTCGCAAGATCCTTCACACCAACGCATTATTCGATCATTCCCGCAGTCAGCCACATAAACATTACCTAAATGATCGACAGTTACTCCTTCAGGACTAGACAGTTGTGCCAGACTATTCCCTCGATCTTTTCCACCAGCAATAACAATACCTTCTTTTGCACCTTTCATCCATTTCATCACACGATGATTGTAATGATCCGACACGTAAATTGAATGATCTTCATCAACGAAGAGATGAGTAGGACGATGAAGTTGATCAAGATGATCTCCTTGTCCATTTCCACCTGCTATTATTGTTCCATTTCTCTCTCCTTGTTTCCATCGTCTCACTTCATTTATCTCGTGGTCAGAGACATAAAGATCTCCATCCTTATCCATTGTTAGGCCATAGCAACAAATATTAGAAATGATTGTTTCTCCATTTCTACCATTTTGACGAGACCATTGTACCACTCGTCTATTTCCAGCATCACAAATGATGAGACAATCATTCTTTTTATCAACAATCACATCTGTTGGACAATTCAATTGATTACTTCGATCTCCATTTCCATTTCCGCCTGCAACAACTTGACCTTTCTTTTCTCTATATTTCCATGCAACAATACGATGATTCATACGATCAGCAATATAAATAGTTTGATGATCATCATCAACATAGATACCATAAGGATCAGAGAGTTCATTTAATTGATTGCCTTCTCCTTTTCTTCCAGCAATAGTAATTCCATGTTGTTTCCATTTGGTGTTGATGTTAATATGATTGACAAGAGATGATTGTTCTAAAAGAAAAAAGATTTTTTTAAATATTTAAATGAAATTGATGAATAAATGTGAATAAAAAAAGTATTATTATAAAATGTAATAAAATAAAAATGATTTGAATTAATTTAATATGAATTTGAATTTAACTTAATTTAAAATCTATATAATAAAATTGTTTTTGTATTTGTAAAATAAAAAGTGAAAAATGTTTAAATTTGTTTTTATATTTGGAAATAAAATTTAGTTAATTTCATCAGAATGAATTTGTTTATCTTTGAAAAAGATTTCAAAAGTAAAAAATGAAAACTTATTTTCCGTTTAAATTTGTTTTTCTTATGAAGATTAAATAAAATGTTCATATGCTTATTGATATAAATCTATGTTAATATGATAATCTAGTATGAATGATATTCTTTATTGTAATTCTAATTATAATGAGACAAACATAATGAAGGTATTTGAAACTGAATATTTTATTCTTTTACATTTTCTTATTTCAATATTTATTTGACAAACAAATATTTTTTTCCTATACAATCGTGATCAACAAAACTAAATTCTATAAACTTTTTTTAATAAAAACTCTACAAGAACATTCTCACAATTTTACTTTTTTGTTTAGCAAATATTCTTAAGAATGAATATGAAAGAGACAGAATTTTGAATTGTATAGATTTTGTCTTATTTTAACAAAAAATAAATAAATTTGATGTACAGATACAGAAGATTGATCAATTCTATAGGTGAGTGAGAACGAATCTGAAAATCTTTGTCTATCAAAATAAAAACAGAACATAAAGTTTCGATAATTTTTTAAAATAGATTTTAAAGTATGAAGAATCAATCTAACTCGCACCAGAATCAATTTCAATAAAAGAGAATAAAATGGATAAGAGAAGAATTGTCAACATTATTCATAATGATACAAAATTATGTCAGCTTTTTTTCTTCACACAATTTCTACAAATATATCGAATTAACATAAAAAAAGATTTATATTTCTCATATTTATCTAAATATGACTTTTTTTAAAGTCTAGCTTTATCTCTTTACATTTTGTATTTTGTTGGTAAATAATTTATTTTTATTTTGAGTTGAAAAATAGTTTTGATTTTGAATTAACTTTTATATTCAATATTAAATGAGTTCATATAAATATGATGTAAGACGCTAATCTTCATAATGATGAATATTTTTGAGTGTGATTGCTAGAAAAGTATACAAAAGAGATTGACAGTAACATGGTCTGTCAGTATTTGTTTTCTTTCTCATGTACTGGTGACTGACGTTCGAAAATCTGTATTTTATAGAGTTCGAATATTTAGTCCCATTAGAGATGACACAAATAGTCTTTGTTTTCGACTGTTCGGATGTAAATTATGAAAAAAAGGGTGTGGGTGTGGGTGTTCCTGATGATATGAATGTCTCTTCCTTATTGCAGTATCTCACACCCACACCCATCCTCAAGATGAGATTCAAAATTATTTTAGGCTTACCAGCTGTAAATTGTTGGTTTAAATAAACTTTCCGTTGAAGCGAAGATACTCGAAATGGACATTGATCATCATCTGTTTCTCTCATTACACTATCGCAAACATCATTCATTATTTCATCAATAGTTAAATTTGGTTGATCAATATGTTGAAGAAGGTGAGATGTGAATAAACCATTTCGACCATTTGTTGATATATCTAATGCAACTTTATTTGCATCACATGCAAAACCAATAAATGAATCAGCAATCGCTTTCATACTTGAAAGACCATTCGAATTTGATGATTTCCATACAAAACTATGTCGACAACAATCAAGAAGAAATATAGCTGCTGATGGACGACGACTCATAATATTTTCAAGCGTAGCTTGAGCATTTACTGCTCGATATTCTAGATAAGTATTTATTTTGATTTCATCGTCATCATCAATGGGGATGAGAAAATTTCGATGACTCCATTGACATCCATGACCCGCAAAAAAGAAAAGAACAAGATCATCTGGATTTATCTTTTCTTTAAACATTTCGATCATTCTATCCATCTGTTCATATGTCAAATCAGTACCAACTGTGATTTCAAAGTCAATTTTACGTAACGTGTTAGCAAGATCTTCAGCATCATTAGTACAATAGCGAAGTTCACTATTTTTCTTGTATTTATTGTTGCCAATTAGAAGAGCTCGTTTTGTATGAGTTAATTTATCTGATGGTGTAAATCCGGAAGCCATAATCTATATACAAAATTTAGAAAAATTCACTAAGTTCATATAAAAAAAACGCCAAGAATAGAAGTACTTTTTGTTGAGATTTCTGTTTGAATCTACAGAGATTCTGAAAACTGCTGTTTTTGCAATGTATAGACTGGTATATTTGATTAGAATTTAATTAATGACACATTACAATAGAAAAGATACTTTCAAAAGAACTTTTGATATAAATACGAATAATAAAATGTGCATAATTAAACGTTCTTTATATAGATCATCAAGTTACTACGAAATACCTTTGTGAGTAACATGACTATTACTTTGAGTGAATTAATCGCGCAATAATAAGAAGAGTAAGAGTGCAGGCGAAGCAAAGATAAGAACTAGAATTCTATTCAGCCAAAGGTCGGGTAGAGAAGTTGGTTGGCTTCACAAACCACAAAACTGTTAGAATACAATTTCATATGACATCTACTAATTCTTAATGTATGGCTCGCGAAGAGGAAATTGTAATGAATCTAAATCGGGTGTGGTTCTTTTCGATAAGCAGAAAAGTGAGAAATAATGGATCGAAATATATTACCATATAAGGAAACTCTCAGCCGTTCATTATCGTTCTTGGCATCTCCTCGATTTTTTAAAACTGTTGAGACTCCTTCATCGATGAATTTAAGTTGCACAAGACGATAATTAAAGTGTATATTCACATCACGTGTGAGGCATCTTGAGGATGTGTGTGGGTGTGGGTGTAGAGCTTGCTAATCATATGCTTTCACATTCACACCCTCACCCACCCATCCATCCACACCACCCCACACCTACACCCACATCCTCGTTCTGGTGGAAAATCGAAAAAAATTTCCCAGCAACAAGAAATCCTGTCGTAATTACATAAGAACATCGACAATTCTAGAAATTCGACAACATTGCCCAATTTCTACTACAATTTCGACATTGCCGAGATTCAGATGACGAAATTCTCTATGTCAAAATTCCATAGAACCCTATTTTTCTTTCTTTTTCTATTGTCTTCTCTTTTAGATTCTAATAGTAGTTTTCATCGCAATATAGTATACTGTTATCATTTAAATAACTCACACACAGCTCACATTGATGTTAATTTGTTTAATAGTTTATCTATTCAAATCATATTTTTATATCATTTGTTTCTGAGAATGATAAAAAGTGAAAAAGCAAATTAATTCAGTAAGAATACCGTACATTGTCATTTTCTATAATTTACTATTATAAAGAACCATAATTTACCGTTTTGCATGTGCTTCATCTTATCCTGACATACATCATTGATAGCAATCTATTAAACAGTCGAAACAATGAATTATTTGATTGTTTATAATCGTTTACAATTACAATGAAATATAGTCATAATATAGTACATATCAAAATAATGAATGTAATCTGAGATTCTCTTCTATTAAATTACTAATCATAATGAATAGATTTGGAAAAAAAAGAAACAAATTAATCAATATAGACGTTGTCAGAGAATTAAAATTAATAATTCGACAAGTATAAAATAGACACAAGAAAGTAAATCAATTGGATCTTCAACTAACAACTATTTATCAGTGAATAACGCTTTAAAAAAGTCTGTCATTGATATGAAATCTATATGTGTCTTATATTTTTTCTAATATTCTAATCATATTTGTACTATATATGATATTTAAAATATTTTATTTTACTTTTAAAATTATTCTAATAAATAACTCACCACAATTCAATATTCAAATCAGATAAATGAAGAAAACTTCAGTAATGTGCGTAGTTGTCGATTTTATTTCGTATTGTGTATGTAACACTGTTTGCTTCTTTCGTCGAATAATTTACGTCTGATCTGTCCAACATAACAAAATTTTACATTTCATTTTTTCTTTTATTTTTTTGTTTTTTGAATATATTTCACCTACACACTTAAGTGAAAGTGACTGCATTAAAAAAGAGTGAAAAGATTCAAGGTAAAAAACAGACAATAAGTAATTTTACAAACAAGAGAAAAAAACTTCGTATTTATCTAAATAAAATTGATTTAAAATACAACTTATACATTGATATTTATTTCTGTATAAAGTAAGGTGATTTTCATCATTTTAAAATAGACAAAAAATAAGAATCATAAACTTTATTTATTATTTATCCGAATATTTGATTTATTCTAGCATATCTATTCTAGAATAAATCTTGAATTCGTGTTAAAATTAAAATAACTGAGGGTCAAATTACTATGAATACGAAAAGTTTTCTTTGTCATAGCATAAAGAGTGATGATTATCAATAAAATGACTCATTTCAAATTAAATAGATATTTTAGAAGATCTAATACATGCATTCTATTTCTTAACGAAAAAAAAATGAAAAAGAATGAAATATATTTGTTATTTATATACATGATTGATTTACTAAAGAGTGAAGAGTGATTTTTTTTCTTATGAAATAAATTTTGAGTAAATGTTCCTGTGCATTCAAACAATAATCTATTCTATAGCTTCCTGTACCATATACATTAATAATCTGAGTGAAACGTATGAAAAAAAAAGAAATAACTTAGATAATATTTTTTGTATAAAAAAATCTTTTTATATGAATTAGAAGAATCTAATGTGTTTATTATTGTTTTTATAAAATATATTATTCTATAAAAATGAATATATTAAAAAAATATAATTTTTCTTAATATTTCTACAAAAATATTCTTCTCATTTCAATCTATTTGTTTTCTTTTAAACGAGATTTTTAAAATAACTTGTGTCACAACAATTTATACTTAATCAACTCTCGATAATTATTTATTACAAAACTGATTTATTAAAATATTTTATAAATAAAAATTCATTCATTAAATATACATAAAAAACCAGATGAAATATAAAACAATTTCTTACATATATTCGATGCACGTTCGCGAAAACTTTCAACAACATTTTCTTTCTTTTTTTCTATAAAAAAATGAATAATAATTAACGTTCTCATTTTTTGTCATTTTATTTATTGATTAGATACGCAAATCCATATATATATCTTTTCAGTTATAACTAGTTAAAAGAAAAACTCTGTTGTAATAAATTTAATATAAATAGGGTGTGGGTGCGGGATGTGTGTAAGGTACGACGGTTCCAAGAAATGGAACCGAATCGGAACCGCAATTTAAGCCCGATTACGGGTAATTTTCGGAATCGCCGCACTCTAAGTGTGGGTGTGGAGTGCGGGTGCAGTTGAAATAAAATATCTACACCCACACCCACCCATCCATATACATACACACACCTACATTTTCGCGTGAGTTGTGTCAACTTATTTATTACGGATATAGACATATTGCAAGTCAAAAAAATTAAATAGCAATGAGTTTCATTGAAAAATCTCATATAGTATATGAAGTAATCAAAAATAAAAACTTTTCAATATATTTAAAATTGTCGAATAATCATAAAACGATCTTCTTCATCAACTACAGTTGGATCGAGTAAAATTGTTTTGAATTGAAGATGTGTTTCATTGTGAATATAAAGTTTACCAAAACCAAATGCTGCATATCTCACATGGGACCATGCAGGTTGTGGCAACCATATTTCGTTGATGAGAGCACCTGTCATACCAATAGTCAAATGAATAGGACTTGTTTGATCAGCTGTTGTTGCATTGTGTTTATAGACTTTTCCATCAAGAGAAAAATGTTCCTATAGAGATAATTATGATTTTTTCGAAGAAGTTTTTCCCTAGGGCCTACTCATTTTTCAATACCCAAAAAGAGAAAAAAAAATCTTTTATAAAATATGATTTGTTTTCTGATGGTAATCTTTCCTTTGAAAATTTTTCTTTTCAAAAGGGTTTTTTCTCATGACATCAAAATGAAAATAAAATGACGGTGTATTGCGCAATGACACATACATTCTTTTTCATTTATAAGACATATTTCTTTTCAAAAATTTTCACTTTATTATTAATACAATTCTAAAATAAAAATTAATCAAATGTCATCATTAAAGAATCAATATGAATATATAAATGAAGATCAAATTAATTATGATTTAAAATGTGTTATTTGTCTTCAACCATTACAAACTCCAGTAAGTCTTCGTTGTCGACATATATTTTGTTTAATTTGTATACAAAATTGGATCGAAAGACAAAGATCATGTCCAATATGTCGTTTATCATGTGAAATAAATTGTGTTTTGAAAGAATTAACACATGGAAGAATTTATAATCAACTCAATCGTTTACCAGTTCGATGTCTACGATGTAAAATGGCTGGAATTCATCGAAGTCAATTTACTAAACATTTTCAACGATGTTCAAATAATTTATTGTATTGGACGATTAAAAGAAGAAATCGACGTGGACGATTACATTCATCAACATCAACAACAACATCAATAGATCATTCCAGTGAAATTGTAAATAGAAATTCTCAACAAACAAATATTGATGATCATGATATTGAATTAGAAATGATAAATGAAAATACAAGTGTAACTCATCAAACATTCAATGATACATTTCTATTTAATTTTTGTTGTTTAATCTTTACTGGTGTTAGTTTGATTATTTTAAAAAAATTAAATCATTAGGGATGAAAGAAATAACAGTCACTCATTCTATAATCTATTGAAAGAATAGTTCTCGTATACCATGTGGTATATGATGCAATGAAAGAAAAGGAAAAACATTTTATTCATAGTTCTTTGATCAATGTGTTCGGAGTGGGTGTCAGATCAATCGAGTAGATAAGCACGGATGAAGTGTGAAATGGAAAAGTTACAGAATAATTTTAATCGTTTATGTATATCATCGTTTGTTTTTTTTCTTTTTCTTCGGAAGATGCACTTCGTTGTTATTGACAACATGTGTATGGGTCAACATTTTATGCGATTATTTGGCTGACTAACTTGACGACAATCGACGCCGATTATGTTCAATAGATAAATATGTTGCTATAAATACAGTAGAAAAATTTGTTTAGCATACATTAACATTTCTTCATCAATTGATAAAAATGAATAAGGTAGTATCTTTCTTCTGTTTTGTTATCGTCTTCATGGTGCTTCTCAATCAGTCGGTTGAATCGAATCCTGTCATCGAAAACCATTCAATCGATAAACGTAGTATTCTGTCGTGTGGTCAAGGATATCATCATATAAGTCGACAATACCTTGATGAAAAGGACTGTGCACAATCTGGTTGTCACTCGTGTTGTATGGCCGAAGACGACGATTATTATTATTGTCACTATTAAAATATTCATTTCAATCACTTATTCAAGCAAATTCTTTGATATTGTTAAATATATAGAATTTTTTTTGAAAGCATTTCCAATATTAATATTGTTTTTCACTGATGCTTCAAAATAAGGAATATTAAGTTGTTCTAAAATGATAACAAAAGTTTAATAAAATCAACTGCTTATAGTTTTTATTTTTACCTGCACACCATTTTTTTGCTTGATGTGTTTGGATCTAAAACAGCAAAACTAAGTTTATATTACAAAAAAAGGTTCGATTAAACAAACCACACAATTATTTAAATCAATTTTATTTTCAGTTACAACAAATGGAAATTTTCGAGAATTCTCAGCTCGCACTTGCTAGAAACGAGAAAAATTGATAATTTACATAAAGCATTTTGTATCTCCGATGATCTGAAAGAATTGTTTTGTGTTATATCATAAACAAGTACATAACAATCGGGTGCACGACCACAACTTCCACCTCTACTTGGAGGATGATTTTCACCAGCTGTATCTCATAACTTTACTTGAAAATGTTGCGCTAATTGTTAGATCGTATTGATCTGAGAATTCATGTGAAACCAATTGTCTCACTAAACTTGTTTTCATACCTAATACAACGATTTTAAGTGAAATTGTTTTTTTCTCTCTCATTAAAAATAATTATCTAAAACCTACGAATGATATGTTATCAATAACACACAGTCTTTTTTCTTTGTCAAGAGAAAAAGACAATCAGCAACTACAAGATCTTGTCGGCCATCACCCTCAAGAAATTTTGCATTGATAATTAATTCTGATTACAACAATAAACTTAATACTTTATTTGAAAACATAAAATATTCACGTGAGGAATAACAAAATATAGATATAATATTTATGGCGAGATTATAATATTTTTTAGAGCTGAGTTAAAGAATATCAGAAAAATACGGAACAACAATTATTTTTTATCAGTATTAGATGTTTCAGCATAATCAATTTGTACGGAAAGAGTTGCACGTTTATCTTCAACAAAAAATCGAGAATTTCGTGGAATGATCATAAATTGTCTTGTTTCACACATATGTGGTAAATCAATTGGATGTGTAAAATTAATAAATCCTTTCAATGGAATTGGAGAAATATAACTACCAATATCTGTAGAACCACCACCAAATCCAAAAAGTTTCGGTAATTCAATAATAAGTTTTTTGATTTTAAGTAAAAGTTTTCCTGTATGTTCATCCAATGCTAATTCACATTCACCATGAACTTTTTGTTTTATATGTGGAAGCATATCTAAAATGCCAATGAGTTCGGCTAAAGCTTTAAATTGAAATATCGATGGTGACAAAATTGCTTCCATTTCAGAAATTTTTATTGTAAATCCAAGAACTTTAATATGAATCGATTTCATTGCTTTGAATAATTTATTAAATGTACTTTCATGTACTGTAATTGATGTATATTCATCAGGATGAACATGGATAGGCGATGAATCAAGTGCATCGAATACATCATGAATTGCTGAAAGTAATTGACGTTTACCAAATATATATTGAGTTGAGATGTTTGTAGGTTTCTCTGTATTTTCATGTTCAGTTGAATAAATAAAACAATTACGTACTCTTCCTGGTAAAGAATCAATGTTTGATATAACATGTTGTAATTTTTCATATGAACGTCCAACAATGATTACAATAATAGTTTTATTTTCATCAAGTTGTTTAATATAGCTGGAAGCGATATCAAATGATGCACATCGTTCCATATGGTGTTGTCCACATTCTTTTTGTAATGATTCAATACATTCAGTTACTAATTGTTTGTTACCATCTTGATCGATAATAACAATAATTACGTCTTGTTTCGTTTCTTTCGATGATTCTTGAGTAGATGTAATCTTGTTGGAAGTATCGGAATCCATCGGTTACAATCAGAAAAAAATGTTGAGAATTGATAAAAAAGAGAAGGAACATCATGGAAGAGGATGACAATAGTCATTGAGTATGCCAATAAAAATAGTCACATTATTGAGTGACATCTTTTGACATTCTGAGAATTTCTATACAGAATATAAACTAGACGTCACTATGATCTTTTGACATCGTTAGTGTGTGGTATTATAGTACACGTAGATTATTTATTTTACTATTTTATCCTATAAAAGTAACTGACAAAAAATAGTTAATTCTCTAAGAAATATTTCAAGCATAGTTTCAATTTCTTTCTCTTGCCATTTGCTAATCGGTAATTCAACAATAGCTGCTTCGTTTATTTTGATATAGACAATAATTTGAATTTTATCGCTATTTTCGAGTTGATTTGCTTCGAACTTTATCGGATATTGAATTTCATTAATATTTATTAGATCAGTATTCTTAACTGTTGTTGAATAACTAGACCATTGATTTTTTTCATTATTTGACCAATGAACTAGACCAAAACGAGAATAATAGCGAATAAATTCTTCTTTCATTCGAGAGATCCATGATGCTAGACGAATAAATGATTCATTTGATGCAATTATTGATTTGTTTTCAATGGTTACATCTTGTTCTTTCATACTATTGAGAACTTCGAGTAGAAATCGTATTTGATATTTTAATCTGTCAATAGACCATCATTGTTGTTGTTGTTTTTTATCGAAAGCTCGATCAAAGATTAATTGAAGATGATTTTTCATGCAATGAATTTTCCATAAACTAATGTGGTGCTTTTGGTTCGTGATAAGTGATCATCCAGAAGAGTATAGCACATATAAAGCCTGTATCAATAGTTAGACTTTGACGTTCTGGTTGCTTTGATTCTTTTTCCTCGTCAATATCATCGTTATTTAGTGGTTCAACTTCAAATTCAACAGGAATATAAAAATTATTTGTTACTTGATTTGCAATGAGTGGAAGAAGATTTGTGTTGTTAATTTTTTGAATTTTATACGATGAATTAACTAGATGAGCAAAATCAAAATCAATTGTTTGTAAGTGGAATTGTTTTCCATTCTCAGTTGATATGTAGGGTTGAACATAGATCTTTGAAGGTATGAGATTTCGATGCACAACACCACATCGATGAATTTTTTCGACTAAATTAATCAATTCTAAGATAATCAGCATTTTCTCTTTGAAGTTGCACAATTCATCAGAAAGACAAACATCCAGTCTCGTTCCTTTAGGTTCTTCTGTAATTAACCATAATTTTTTCCATGAATTTTGATTAACCATTGATTTTTCATAATTACAATCGATCAATTCAGGTACACCTTCAACTTCTACAAAACAACAAACTTTTTTTTTGTTTGAAAATAGCTCATTTAAACTTACTTGCTAGTCGTTGAAGAGCCAATCGATGCCGTTCAACACGTAATCGTGATGATCTATCAGATATTGTCGAATAGATTTTCAATAATGCTCTTCTATTTGAATCAGTTCGATCGATGATGGAATAAAGACTATCAGACTGAGTCAATACATTTAAATTATCCACAAGAGACCATGAATTTGGTAACGCAAGTGAAGTCAGTTGTTGATCTTGTCCACTATTTATACTTGAAATAACTGATGGCGTAGAACTGTGCAATTGTTGTGATATTATCGGATGAGAAATTGCAATCTTTGAGTTATAATAATCGACATCCATTTCTAGCTGACATTGCATACTATACGGTTGATCCCTACTAAACGTTTGATTATGCCAGGCATGAATCAAATCTTTAGCAAAGGCCAAAGATTTTTCATTCGTAGCATTGGCAGTAGTTGGAAGTGATGGATCATTTTCGTTGAAGACCAATAAGTGTGATTGATTTTGAAAAAATCTTAACCATAAACGTTTAAAGATTTCTGGTCGTGTAACATTCGGTGGAAAATTACTGATTCTTACACGATAACCATCTTCTCCTAAATAAGTAAAAGTCAACCCTTCGCTGATCATGTCCATACCAACATCGAGTATTTCGACATTCGATTGGTTCTACACATTGAATGTGTTTTTTTCGACAACCAATGGAAAATGAACATTTTCCTTCTTGGTACGACTTACAAAAGTCAAAATAATTCACTGGTGCCCGAATTACTTGACATTGTATTTGACAACCACGGAGATAGTAGCCGTTCTTTTCATTAACTAATTTTTGAAGGACTTCATTATTATCGATATCTTTAATTCAAACCTCAACAGGTCTAGATGTTCGATTGTTTTCAACTAAATGATGTTGTAATTCATTATAAGGTCGAATAAGAATATTTGCTACATCAATACGAAAAATATCCGAAAGTTCATTCCCATTGACATCATTAGGTAAATTCGTTACGTGGATGCAAAATTCGATTACATCAGAAGTAACAATGGTTCCTAAATAAAAATTACTTACATTTGTTATTTTGTATACATCAAAACTTACGTCGATCTTTTGGTATGCGTAATTTTTCTACTACCAGTTGTACTCCTTTTATTCTATGTGCGTTTTTTTCTAGAACGATTCGATCCACTGAATCATAACTATAACGAGAATGATTAAAAAAACAATATCGCCTACGTCTTATTCATCTTACTCATCAAAAATGAAATAAATCATGTTATCGGAATATTCTTGATATTTGATAGTACCATAAGGTAAAAAGTAATTTCTCACTTTATCAATTAATTCTCTTGCAGAGTAATCTTTAGGTAATTTAACTTTCAAACCACAGGTAATTTTATGAGATAAATAGTGAACTCGTGAAAGTTGTCGAGATACAGAAAGTTCCTTTTCATCAAGCAGAATTGGTCGTTTTCGCATGATTTTATTGACATAATCTTCATGAGGAAAGATGACGACAGCACATTGAGATCTTCGATTATGAAGAACTATAAAAGAAATTATTTTAGAGAGGAACTTTCCTATTAATACAACTGACATGTTGATTTGTTCCATTGTACTTTAAACTTGACTTTGTTGCTGTCAAGGCTCTTGGCAATAACTTTATTGATAACATTCGTCTTATTCATCGTTTCATCAAGATCATGAACGATTAAACAACGTTTATATTTTTCCGGTTCTTTGTCAATAAAAGCTCCTGGATTCTAGAAAGAAAACATATAGTTCAGCGCTCTCATTTTGGTCTAATAAACTTACTGTATTCATCGTTTCGTTTGTAATTAAGTGTAGAAATTGGATTCATCCTATAGAATTCTTTTAGTTTTATTTTGTTTTGTTCTTCATGCCATTTTCTTCTAATCACAACAGTAGGAAAAAACACTCGCATGTTATTCTTTCATAGTCATGAGAATGTGAGTGTTGTTGTTGATCGTCTAAAAGAAGGATTTTTCTTCTGTATAATTCTTAATAATTTTAATTGCATTTTTTCTTATAAAAATAATCATTTTCATGCATTAAACTGTCATAAACATTTGATGAATCTGAAAAATATCAAAAGTGCAATTTTTTTATTCCATGGGTTTTCTAGTAGTCTCAAGCTGTTAGAATGATTATATTTAGTAGTTCTGTAAAAAATTTAATCTTATTTCTGCACTCTGATACTCAAGAATGCTCAAAAGACATACAAATCAAAAGTCTTGCCATACCTTGACAATCTTAAGTCGATTCTGTATTCTGTTATGTAGGTAGTAAGGAAATTATGACGGAAAAGATAAGAGAAGAAATTAATAGAATTGTGGAGAAAAAAAGAAAGAAAAATGAGTGTATTATATTATTCCGTCTTTAAGTAATATTTCTTTATTTCCATCGACCATTGTGAAACATTTATATATTTTTCACACGATGGTTTTGACATTTGTCATCAACTGGATTTTTATATGTATCTGTATTATCAATTGTCTTGTCGCATCAACTTTTCTCATATTCGCTTTTATTAATCATCATCGATGTTTTAATTTTCCTACTGTGCTAGTATGTAATACTGCTCTTGGTATTCTTCTTTATTCAACTGTGAATATAGCATCAGTTAGTTATATGTTTATTTGGGATAAACAAGTATTGCCTATTGCCGATCCATTATGTTCCATACGTGCTTATTTTTATCATTCAACGATCGCCTGGATACATCATTCCTTGATTCTTCAAGCTATTGAACGATACTGTAAAATTCGAAGACTTAAACTTCTTCAAACTCGTACCCGTCAACTATGTTTTATTCTTCTTCAATGGTTATTTGATTTTACTTTTGTTTTACCTGTCTTTTTGACAGGTAATATGAAAAAGTTAACAATAGATAATTTTTGTTTTGTTTCATTGAACACAATTCCATTAGTCTTTTATTTAGCTGGAATATCATTTCTTTTATCAGATATAATTTTAAGTGTCATCTATAAATTATTAGTACGTTATGTACGCGAAGTTTCATTACGAGTAAATGGTAATTATCGT